GAGGATATTTCTTCTGTTACCTGCCTAGGTAGCCAATGCCTTCCTAGAATCTCAACTTTGGCATAAAAAATACAACCAGGAAACAAACGAGCATGAGGCCGTACACCATAGCGTACAGCTTCAGCCTTCCAATGTAACCTTTACCTTCTGTCATCCTCTTCAAAGTACCCATTCGACCCCTGGCTGCCTCCATACTCTGCTCCGTCTTGTCCATTCCTTCACTCGCACGACCTACTACATCTTTGTCTGCCTCAAGAGTATCGGAGAAACGTTGTGAGCTTGACTTAAGAGCGCCCGCCATCTGCAAGATTGATTCAGAGAGGGCCTCCTGCTCGGAGCGCTGACGATCGAGCAATGCTTCGGCTGTTGCTGTCGAAGTTTGGGGCGTGGAGGGTTTACTGCGGTTGGCAAAGAGGGCCGCCCGTGCCGTCGAGTGGGAGGAAGGTGATGGTGACGCAGGCCCGCCTCGTGGTCTGAGTGTCTGTGATGTCTGTGTAGGTTCTTGGTTATGTTGTACTGGCCGGGTATTTTGAGGGGCTGCTGTTGACGCGGGCGCTGAGGCCGAGGCCGACGCTGTACTTGGAGCTGGAGTCGGAGCTGTTGTAACCGGTATTGTTGTTGTATCTGGAAATTCTGATTCGGCGTCATCGTCTTGTCCTGAACTTTCGGTGGGCTGGCCTGTCGATATTGAGTCCACCATACTATCGCTCGGCGTAGGTATTATCTCTGAAAGGATGTCTTCCCCGTCGGTACTTGCATCGTCGTCGTCGTCTTCATCGAGTGCCACCTGCCAATGTGTTAGACCACATCCACATCCTTTCAACGGCCATATCTCACTTGTTTCAAGTCTTCCAATCGGTCCAGGAGTACCTCCAATGTCTCTCGTTTTCCGTTCAAATCCACTTGTACTTCAGCTCGTCGACTTGGAGCTTTAATCGCCAAGGCATCGTGCTCCAATTTTGACAGGACGTTTCGTGCGTATTCAAGGTTCTGCAGCCTTAATTAGATCACTTGTCGCATTGAAATGGTCATGTGCACTCTCACAGATGCCACTCTTGCTCTTTCAAACTCGCTTGATCGTAGCCTTCGTTCGCGGTCGCTATCTGTATGTAAAACGGTATTTTGTAATCGTGAGAGCAGGTTCCCAAGCTCTGTAGAAGCAACATCGATTGCGCTTCTGTTAAGCGACGGGCTTGTCGGTTGCGAAAGTCGCGCCATGGTGTTTTGGTGGGTGATGATACTCCTGGATCTGCGCTGTCGATGCGGCTGTCTTTGGTGTTTCAGTGACGTGTGAGGTTCTGGGAAGCTCGAGCTACAGCGGGTCTTTGTGGCTCACCCAAACCCGTGGTAAGCCACGTCGCAACTTACACGGCCACCAGCCTAAATCAAAAGAGATGCTGTATATACAGATAACCAAAACATAAGATCTCCAATTCTATAGACATTGCTTATATTACTCTTCAGCAAAAGATACTGGCAACTTGTAGTTCCTTAGAAACCTACTAAGTTATGTACCGAAGAACCTGAGCAGTATTAGATCTCTGGTTGTCACCCTGACGTCCGTATATTTCTACACCGCAACAAGGTGTTTAAATTCAAGCAATGCGATCCAAACACGAATAGATTATGAAAACAGACAACAAACTCCCTAAACATGACGCTAAACTAGGAGTAACCTCACAAATCTATCGTGGTATCGAGTAAGGAGTATATTGGTTAGCTGGTAAACAGTCTCACCAGATTTACCCTATAGCATAAAAACCAGGAGGAAATGTACCATAGCCTTGAACGCCTTGCACCACATACAAGAAAACAAACAAACGAAGTCCCTAAACATACCTCCAGGGTTCTATGCACAAATACTTAAACCTCGCCACCGTTCATCCGTCCAAAATCTGCCATAGAGCACATGGAGTACATATGCGGCTGATGCCAAATTCCTCGGAGCGTGACCACCTTGAGAAGACAACATGCCCTGAAAGCCCAGTGCACTCTTTCAAGTAAATTAATCCCTAGATTCGCTTTTCCTCTCGTCCTCCTGGTCCTTGTCTTCCTTCTCCAAAGCGCTACGTAGCCTTTCTTCTTGTCGCTTCCAATGACCACCCTCTTCGTAGTCAGCACTGATCTTGAGTGCTTTCCGTAGTCGCTCGCTCTCCTTGATCTTGGCATCAGCCATCTCATGCACCTGGTGCTGCTTGAATGGCTTCTTGGGACCGCCTCCCCGTCTTCCCGAGTTCATCTCAGCTAGCAATTTCTGTCGAAGCTCATCACATCGTTTGTCAATCTCATCTTCATCAACCCTACGTATTGTTAGCGAAAAAAAAGGCATGACATCAGGGCACAGGCACATACTCTTCTTCTTCTAGCTTGTCTCTGAGATCAAAGACCTTAACCTCGACCTCGCGCTTGCGGTCATGCTCCAGAATTCCCTTGTCTGGTTGTCTTTGCTTGTGTCGCAAGCTGTCAAGATCCTTGGGATAGGGGGCGCCATAGTCACGGGGCTTGATGTGAGCGAGGTTGCGCTGGACGTAGCCAGAGGTGCCACTGCCACGAGGAGTGTTCAGACCAACGTTGTCAGACATGGTCAGTTGGTAGAGATGATCTCAATTGGCTTGGAGAAGTATCAGAACCTCCTATACAAGTAATTGATGCGGAGTGATATTGTTATATGCAATGAGTTTTTGTTATGTTTGCGACTGCGACAGGTCAGGTGGATCTCGGTGATGTAGAAGGACCCTTCTCTGCCGGAATCGCATCACTTTAAATCTCACCGCCTGCTGCTTTCGGCTGATAAGATAAGAACTATCGCCCCTCAATATTGGAGGGGCATGGAATATTTCGACGGAATTTGTAAGTGAGTTTAACACTGCAATATTATCAGGACGACTCGATATTTGGTCTTTTTTCTTATATCAAAATTAATGATTTAAAGTCAGGATACAAGTACATATACCACCGGCATTGTATATCCATCCTCTTGCTCGCGATGCCTCACGTTCCTCCCTCAGCTGAGGCCGACAACCAAGGCGATGCGCCTGAACTTGTCTTCCCCCCAGTCACCAAGGATCACATCCAAAACTGCTCCTATGACTCTTGGTTTCCTAAGTATAAAAGCTCGTGTCTCAAGTCTCGCATAGTCCCTCTCCCGCCAGCCTTTGTTGAATACCTCCACGAAGATGGTATAGTCCTGGCGGATGACGACGAGCATCAAGATGAACCCGAGGAAGAGTGGCATGCATCATCCAACACATCTGCAAGACCACATGATCCCGAATCATCAGATGAAGAAGAAGAGGAGCCAGAAAGACTGCCACCAAACCAGAGATTCCCAGAGACACATAATCTCATCAAGGCAACTATCGCAGAATTGGGCGGCTCGGTGGCCCCGAAGTTGAACTGGTCTTCACCAAAGGATGCAAAGTGGATATCGCCTCACCAGAACACACTCAAATGCACGACTACAAACGACATCTATCTCCTTCTGAAGTCGTCTTCTTTCGTGTCCCATGATCTTGATCATGCCTTCGATGATTGCACTTCAGCACCCCCTTCCCGCCCATATGCACCCATTCTTGTCCTCAGACCATTCTTCACTCCCCATGTTGCCCTTGAATTCCGGTGTTTCGTTAAGCACAGGGCGCTCATTGGAATTACGCAAAGAGATCTCAATCATTACGCTTTCCTTGAGCAGATCCGACCACAGTTATGGCGCAAGATTAAGAATTTCTTCCACGATAGACTGCGGCTCACTTTTCCCGATGCCAGTTTTGTCTTTGATGTTTACGTTCCGGAGAACTCGTTCGAAAAGGATGGACTTGGAAAAGTCAGATTGATGGATATCAACCCATGGGCCACTCGTACAGACAGTCTCCTTTTCGGCTGGCAAGAGCTTTTGGAAATGGATGTTCCAAAGCCTCTATATGGCACATCTTCTAGTGAGGCTGGTCCGGATGTCAGCGGTGACGATACGGTCACTGAAGGTGAGGACAACGACGAAGATATCGAATGGCGGCCAGATATGAGCCCCGAGTTTCGTATTATAGAGAAGGATGATCCAGCTGCGTATAACTTCAGCAGCCCACAATATTCGGCTCACAAGCTGCCCAAGGAGGTTGTAGATGCAAGTATGGCTGGTCAGGGCGGTCTAATGGAGTTTGCGATGCAGTGGAAGGAAATCACCGAGGGACGGGGAGATGGCATTTGGGAAAAGGCTGCTGGTGCCGGCACATAGAACTCCTGTGCTAAATACAAGCTGTTAAAGCAACACGAACGCGTCTACTTGTATTGCGTGCAAGTGACGAATGAGTTCGTCAATGAACGCTGAGGATATGCAGATATGTTAAGAAGGTTGATGTTCAATGTACGACGAACATGCAGAGAGATGGGCCATAAAGTTGGAACACTTGTAGTATACATGTTTATTCGTTTCGCCATGTCAGATCAATTCAATAAGAACAAAATGAACACCAGAACATCCATTGCTGAATTGTTCATCTCAGCTTACAAGAGCAGCGTTAGTTATGACTTTCTCCTGGAACCAGTCAAGATTACTACTCTCCACGACTTCGGTGCCTACCTAGTACCTAGTCAACCAAGCAGCCGACCGAGCCCTAAAGAATTAGGCAGACGCGTTACCGCTTATAATTATTATATATAGACGCGAAAAAATGATGCCGTCAACACGTAAATATATCCACGACCAAGCACCGTGCCAATACGCGAGCCGCACGCGGTCTCGTCTGTTTACTGTGGACCCCCTCAGTTCCCACTCCCATCTCCTCCTGCACCCCCCTTCTTGTGTTCTCACTATCTCCTCCTACATATCAACCCAC